AGACACTTAACCCACCTTGCCACAGTGTCTGCGTACACTGGTGGTGATTGGGTGAATGGTTCCTTGTTGTTAAAGTGTTTAGTGCCTTGAGGTGGAAAAGCTATAGAAAAATGACATTACCATAAGGTACTATTCTACCTACTCCACTATATAACTAAGTTAGGCAGTGTGAACACTTGCGCTCTATTACTCCACTGCTACTATACTATAAAGGTATACTGCTCTTACTACTAAAACTACTATAACTACTATTATTGCATTATTTCTGTTAGTACTTTCAGGCTGTGAATACTATTACACTGAAGACACAACCAAAGCATTTGTACAAAAATTTTAATATTGCAGTTTTCATTTGTAGTTCTGTCGGTTGCTTTTGGTCTGGCTCATCTTCTGGGACTCTTTGTCATGGGAACCCTGCGGAGATGTAAGTTCAGTCTAAGGCTCAGACATACAGCTCCAGAATCTTGAGCAGCAAACCTCCGCGCGATAAGGCAGCACCAGTGATGAGGTGATTGAGATATAGAAACTCTGTATTATGATAAGTACATTACGTTTCATGTTAATGAACATAGTTTTCAGGGGCATGGGTGTTGGATGGTGTCAGGTAGGTGGTTTCTTCGGACGAAATGCATTTAACTGGAACTGCTCGGTTATTCGGTGACTTTGGACAAGTGTCGACGTTGTGTACACGAGTAGAATCATTTTTTATACAGTAATCAAAGTATCAGTAAATCAGTAGAAACAGAACAGTGTAGTGTGATTTCGCTTGGGAGTTCTTCTTCACCCTCTGACCCCGGTTGTCTCCACCTGGTAGATCTGTGAAAAAATCAGATGAATTAAATGAGCTTGTAGTAGTGTGTAGTCTTGTGTTCGTCTTGCCCCAGTACAGATATATTGTATAAGGAGCTCTTCAGTCCACTGTGTACTGTCTGCAACTAATTATACTGGTTCTGAATCAGGAATGTGCTTAGCATGCTTGCCTTGGTCTAAATCTAAATAATGGTGAATCTTTGCTTATTCTTGATCTTAGTTTTGCACTGATCTTGACCTCAGCTTCGATGCATTGTGGAACTTTAGCTCAGCGCTATTGTTCCCTCTCCTCGGTACCCCTGTCACATGCGCCAGCCTCGTAGATCCGCCGTTCGCATGTGAGGTGACTGATTTTTTAGGGCCACATACAGCTGTGGGGAAGTGTTGGGTCTTTATGGGTGCACCGGCCGCAGCATAGATGGGGTGGGGGAGAACAGGTTGGAGGGTCAACACTGCAGCTTGTCACTTCACATCGCTGCCATGTGCCACTTATCTTACTCTGACATGACTGTGGTACAGGTATTGGCCACTGTGAAGTTTGACGGGGGCAGGGGGGGGTCAGCACGCACGGCAGTACGCATGGATGTGGTGTTGAGATCCCTGGATTTTGTAAAAAGAAAAAAAATGTGACATAAATAAATGCTCTGGTGTTATTTGTGAGCACATTTGAAACATAATTTGCGGTAAAAGTTTCGACTTAACTGGTTGTAGGCTGAAAGTATATATATATATAATATATATATATTATATATATATATATATATATATATATATATATATATATATATATATATATTATTTATTTTTTTTTACCTTTTTAAAGCTACAACTGACAAAACTCACCTTATGTCACATATATATACTGAAAAAGGGTCTGAGAGGAGTTGCTCAATTGCAAAAACTAATTGGACAACAGTAACATGACTTTTTTTACCTTTCTCTGTCCAGCATGTTTTAAATACTTACAAAGGTCACTTGATTGTGGCCGATGTGAGACTGCAGGTTTTAATCAGGTTGAGGAAACATGACTTTATTCTAATCTGTGGTGAGGCTCCTCCTCTGGAATTCTCCTCCCAAAACTTTTGGAAGGGAAAATTCAAATGTAACAGGACACAGGACAGATCCAGGAGCAGAGGACACACAGTGTGGAGCAGGAGGATTATAGAACTTGATCTGGAGGTGAGACTTTTCAAAGATTTTATATGCTTCTCTGGACTAGAATGTCGTCATATTAAAACATTTTGTGGTGTTTTATTTGAAATTAGAGTTAATGTAAGGACTGTTTTCCATGAACAAATTGTCTTTGACTGTCCATCTACAGGAGTGTGACAGTTGTACTCAGATTTGAATGTGTTTGTTCCAGAGTCGTCTACAAAACAAAGAGTGACGTCCAGAGCTCTGCTGGAGCTGTGGGGAAGTTCATGAATGTTCTATCTGATGTTTCAGAAAAAAGGAAGATGTTTGAGAACCAACAAAACACAGAGCACAGATGAACAAAGTAAGTAACTCAACTAAAATGATTTTAAAAGAATTTTTCTAAATGAACTTCCTGAGTGAGTTTTGTTTCTGCAGATACATTCTAATGTTCTTGTTCTTCTGTTCCGGTCCATTATTGTAGTAATAATTGCTTTAAGTGTATTTAAACATGTAGAACAGAGTAGATCATCAGAATGTGATCATCATGCGTTCTTCTGTGTCCACAGAGACCAGAGCTTCTTCACTGGAATAAATCTTCACATTGTCCAGCTCCAAACTGTGTGTCTCTGTACTTGTGCTCTCTGTGTGTTTGATTCTGTTTAAGACAAAACAGAACTGTGGAAAACTAAAGATTGTTTTTGTATTCTTTTACAGAATTAGATCAATTAAATTCAATTATACATACTTATACATTTCACGATAAGATAAGATAAATCTGCATATTCAGCATGATTTGATAAAATTTCATCAACATGAAAAAGTGATGTTCATGTTCTGAGAAAAATATGTGTTAGAGAAGATCGAAATAAAGTTTCAAAGCCTAAACATCATTTTATTGCATGCAAACTGCTTTCCACAACGTTTTAATGGCAAATCCAGCAACCTTTTTTTTTCTGTTCTGTGTATATATTATACACAGATAATTGTTAAAAAGTTTGTAAAAAGCAAAAAAAGCATGTTGCATGCAATAAATGATGTTTAGGCTTTGATATATACACACAACACTGAAACATGGACCAGGGTCAGTCTGTATCTCCCCTATGAGTCATCTCAGATTTGGCAGAAAATTTTTCAAAAAAATTCTAAAATCACCAAATGAAAGAATCTCAGATTTTAGCTCAATCACTTGAGCCGTTCCTGAGTTCCTGTAGCACTGTACTAAAATAATAATAAAAAAAACACAACACGTGTCTTGCTCAAGGGCACTACCACACAACCGTTACTGCAGTATGCATGCAAAGCTGGTAGGAAGAACTAATCTGGAAAACTGTTGGCTAATGGTAACTTATCTAACAGACTATGACTGTGTTGTTATTTAACTTAAATAAGATTACCGATCACCTTTTGTAATTCCAACTAAGTCTGTTCTTTCTGATTGTTAAAACAAAGCACAGATTAAAGTCTAACTGGCTTAATAGAGCTTCAGACAGAGCAATACTTTTGGTCAGCACCACCCCACCAGGAAATGTTGATGACATCAGTTACAGTATTGATTGGATTCACTGGGTCAAATTCATAACGTAGTTCATAAGTAGTAAAAAGTAGTCGTTTCGGTGAGTAGTCGGTGAGTAGCTTCTGTGAGCCCAGATCTCAATTCTATTGAACATCTGTAAAAATGGGCTGAAACATGCTGTCTGGAGAAGGCATCCTTCAAACCTGAGACAACTAAAGCATTTTGCTCATGAGAAGTGGGTTAAAATACCTGTTGATCAGAGCAGAAGTCTCATTGACAGTTACAGAAATCATTTGTTTGCAATGATTTCCTCAAAAGGTTGTGCAACAAAGTATAACGTTAAGGGTACCATCATTTTTGTCCTGGCCAGTTTCATTATTTTGTTTTTTTAAATTATTCTGTTTAACCACTGGTGAAAAACAATGTTTGATATTTGTTGGTCAGTTTTCAGTATTTTTTTTATTTATTATTGCTTTTATCAGTTTCAAGTTATTTTAGTGATGCTTGTTGATTTTTTCTTTCATTGCCAGAGGGGTACCACCATTTTTGTCCAGTCTATATGTGTGTGTATGTGTGTATACACACACACACACACACACACATATACATATATACATATATACACACACACACATACATATATATCTGAGGGAAAAAACTGCATATTATGCCCTGTTGTCAAGTCTTTCAAACCAAAATTCACAATATATAAGATTTTTTTTTACAACAGAAAAAAAAATAAATCTATATATAAACACACATTTGAGCAAATGCTGTAATAGGCAGTAGAAATACTACAGTAGAAATAATACTACAGTAAAAGTACCTGGAAAGTCCCAAGACGGGGCGCGGCTCCATATAACCGGGAAAATGCAAAGCAGTGACATAGATGTCAAGGCCAGAGCTTTACAGAGACTCTGCTGAGGGTACATGGCGGAGCGAGGACCATCAGGAAGAGCAAGCCTTATATAGATGGGCAGGGGGCGGAGCTAAAAGGGACTGAGGGAGGAGCTTAGAATAAAAAAGGAAATGTTCTATAAATGTGTTGCAAAACTGCGATTTTTCAGGTAAGTCCTGAAATAGACAGAGACTTTTTGATTGGTGTTATTTCAAATTAACTTAACATTAACTACTGGAAATAGAGGTCGAAATCTTTTTTTTTTTGCTTGACACCAAAACGGAATAATGAAATAACTTTTTTCCATTTTTCATTGTTTTTCGTTCTTAACTGAAATTCAAAAGAATGAATGGTACATGGACCAAACAGCATTCTAAGTTAATAAGGTTCATTAGACTATGCAATTTCACTATCTTTTAAACGAGTTGTGGTAGCAGTACAAAAGGAACATCACAAGTAGCAGTACTAGCACTTTTAAAAGCAAGGGAATAGTACCAGCATCAACTGTTTTACTGTTGTCTAAATGTAATGCACTGTTGTTAATGTGATTACTAATTCTACTAGTAGTAAAGTATTTATATATATATATATATATATATATATATATATATATATATGGAGTGAACAACAAAGACAAAAACACACATTTTAACCATTTATTTTTTACCCAAACCATTAATTCCACAAGTTTAAAAATACAAAAAAGATAAGTCTCTCTTTTTGTTTACATTTTTTCAATTATTATTCCTGAAAGACCCCGAATTCTCTTAAGCATAACATGCCCTTTTCTTTTTAGAATGTATTTTTTACACATAGCAAAAAGTACCCATCCCATATACACACAATTGCATTTATACATAAGGAATAAGAATGTATTGATACTTTGCAGCTGATATAATCAACATTCCCTGGGGAGGAGAAGCTAACTAGAGGAACTGCTCTGTCTGAAGGTCCGTAATTCAACACTGTTTTAGTGATGACTGATGAGACTCTCGGATTGATCACAAGCTCCTGGAAATGTGTGTTTAAATAAGTCTTGTATTTTTTCTTGAGTTTTCAAATTGCCTGCATGTGTCACTATCGTAACTGCTGCACATATCACCATAGACATACATGCTAAATCCCCCAGCATAATGGCACTGCAAAGTATCAATAGGAGGTACGCAAAACCAATATTATTTTTTATTATTATTTATTTCCAGTTTGCCCTTAACTTTCTCTTCACCTCTCAATTCTGTCGCGCTCCTGTTTGGTCCACGGTTTCTTTCCGAAGTGCGGCACGTCGTTGCAAAGGCTTGTGGGTAGTTTTGTTTGTTTGTTTGTTTGTTTTTGCCGTAGCGCCTCCTGGTCGGCCCCCGCGCTCTCTTTTTGTCGTGATCGGTCGGCCTAGGACATGACTCCAAAGACGGGGTTGTGTCGACAGATGCTGGGCCCAATCTCCTCGTAGTCCTTCTTGGTGTGACACACTTGGTAGAACTCGGGCTGAGAAAACAAGAGAGGAATTATTAAAAAGAGGCAAAAAATATGAACTACATAGGTTAAAAATGTAAAAACGTTAACTGAACGACTAGGTTAAAGAGCCTGTACCTGATTTTTTTTTTTTTTTTTTTTTTTGAGCAAAATGTGTCTTACCCCAGTCCAGAAATACTGTATAAGTACTGAGATAAAAGTAAGCCGTGTACCCTCTGCATCTAATTATAAAGCGTTTTATTCAGGAAGTGCGCAGATAGCATGCCAGTTAGTGTTCCTTATTCAAGCAAAAACAACAACTCGTCAGGAATATTTTAAAAAGATGCAGTAACTAACTTTTTAAATGAAAAGTTTGACACCTGTTTGTTTCCATGAATATTTTTGCTTTGCCGGAATGATCTACAGTATGGCATCAAACTTATCTCCATGGCAACAAGCAAGTGATGCCAGTAAATTATATGTCAGATCTGTGGAAAGGTGACCCTCCTTCTTGTGAGATCAAATACGAGTAATTCCAAATCATGTAGTAGATGTTCATTTTGCAGTACAGTACAGTATTAGTCAAGGTTAGGGCTGGGAATCGAGTCAGTCATGATTCAATACGATACACGGCTCACGATTTTATCATAATACAGCAATTCATACGATACTTGATATATTACACATAATACTCTGTGATATATTGCTGTTGTTTGAGAACCAAATATATTTAAGCAACAATACTTTTTGTTAAACCACAACCTGTGCAAAGTTACTAGGAAAATACATAAAATAAATGAATCATCAAAAGAGTGGCTATGTCAAGTGTATTGCATAAACAAGTTTCCTAACACTAGGTAGTGTAACGCGATCACAAAAAAAGCTGAAAAGTACTCTTGTCAATATCAGTACAGTACAGTAGTCCACAGTAATGATAGTGTATCCAGGCAGGAAAATGGGTCAGGGGTGAAAAAGGTGAGAAGAGTGTGTGAGGGTCAACGTGGCCTCTGGTGTATGTGTTTTTCAATTAATCGACTAAACTACAGACCTTTTTTCTTTTTTTTTTTAATTAATCAGTTATTATTAATAATTATTTACTTTTTTTGTTTTATTTTTTATAGATCAATTTGTTGCTGTTATTGTTGTTAGTTAAAAATAAAAAGTGTATTTTGTCTTGTAGGAACATTGCTGATTATGTTACTGTGTCATGTAAGCCACTTTCTGTAAAATGAAAACACCAGAGAGCTAATAGTTTTAATGGTTGCCAGAAACTGAGGAAATATAAGAGCCATGGTGAGCCTACAGTTAGACGCCTATAAAACAAACTATTATCCAGTTATCACCAAATTACTCTCACGATATATTAATATTTCAATTTTTCTACACACGTCTAGTCAAGATCATGGACTGTATATATGAGTGGATATAGCTAACGCTCTAGACGCAGTTTGCTAAATCGGACGTTCTCCAGGAGGCTCTTCCGGCTCCTTCTGACTCTGGCTCCAGTTGACTTACATTAGGATTTGGGGCTCCTCTCTCTGTACCTGCTGCTGTGAGCCTTGTCATTTTGGTCTTAAAATGTTTGTATCAACCCACGACACATGATCCTGAATTTTCTTTTTTTTTGGCCATTTTGTCCGTTAGAAAAATCCTATTCATAACACAGAGCCTGTCTCCAGATTGGCTCCTGTAACCGTGAGCATCGCGAGCCTCATTTAAGCAGCGCGAGCCTCATTTAAGCGGCGCTGAACACTACAGGTGACGTCACACTCACTTAAAGCCAATTTACGGTTCAGTGCCAAATTGTGTGCGTCACGACAATGAGAGTCTGCGTCAATGCGTACCCCCTATGCAGGGCCTCTGCGTCGACCGACGTGCGCCTCCGAAATTTTTTAACTACGCGTCAAAACGCCACAGACACCAAGGGAAGCGACGCAGATGATAAGAGCTGTGATTGGTCCTCCGTACCACCGCTCTGTAGACATTTCCTGTCGGCTTTTCTTTCTTTCAGTTTATATTGAGAAATAATGTGTTTAATGAAGCTTTGCGCATATGTGTTTATGTTTTACAGAAACGAAACTTAAAACCGCATGGCTAACTTACATAAACAAAGTGTTCATAAAACAGCTCACTCCTGGTACACAGTCAGCTTCTCTCGGACTTAAAAAGGACATGACTCAGTGGAATATGAGTGTCTTTCAGTGACAGAGTCACATTGTACTAATGGTGAGTCTGTTCTGTACATTTATCACGTTAGAGATGGTTCATGTTAAACTTTTCAGAGATTATACGTCTGCGGGTCGTACACACAGACTGTATATATGAATGGACAGATATCGTCGCCCCCTAGCGTTTTGGCAGTGAATTACTTTGTGATGCACAGACCTCGATGCAGATCCATAAATCAAAAACGACGGCGAACAAGGCGACGGCGGCAGTGCGCGTTGAATTGACGCAGAACTATACTTCACCCTTTAATCCACTTCTTTTATACAGTCTATGGTCAAGATCCAAATTCAGTGTTAGAAACTACAGAAAGCAGCGTCTTTTTAAGCCTCATCTGAACAGATGTAATGAACTTGTTACATGTCTAAATGCTTCTTTACAGTTGTGTATCTGATGTTTATATCGAGTCTTACTGTTGTAAAAATACTCACAGTTGAAGCCAGCATGGAGCCTCCGAACCACACGGCGTACCTCTGCATGTGATGGGTGATAACTTGGACATCAATGGGTTTAGGCTGCAAAAACAAAACAAATTCTAATATCATAAACCCAGAGCTTCATTAAAGATCAAATATTATGAGCTTCAAGTCATTGTATAATGTTGTTACCTATATTTTTAATGAGGACATGACATTATAATATATATCAGAAAACAGCAGAATAGGAGCCTGTAAATTGTGCTCATTTTGTCTATATCTTTATTTTCAGTCCAAACCTTGAGCTTTCCTCCGCTGAGCTCCTCACTGATTTTGAGCCTCGCGTCCACGGTCCTCTTCAGGTCCCTCTGCAGGCGTCTCCCAAAGTCTCTGAACATGGTGGACCCCCCGGACAGCACGACGTTCTGAGGGAAGAGCGTTCACGATTATCAGCACGGGGCATACTGGGATAGGTGTACAAATGGCGCAGTGCTCGTTACCTTATACAGGGGGCGCCGCACGTCTATGGGGCAGTTCTGGATGACCTCGTCCACCACCTCCGAGATGGGCTGGGTGAAGTCCGGGTTGGCAAACTGCAAAGATCACACACGATGGGTAAAGTTACGAAATGAATTCAAGACAAAAGTAAAACTGGACTTCTTTTGGGACTAACTGTAAAGTGACTCAACAGTAGAGCTTGGTATCATTAAGAAGGTGCCGATACGATACACACCTCGATATATAGGCCACGATACATAGGCCACGATACAATACACAGGCCACGATACATATGATACAATACAAACCTCGATACAATAGATACCCCGATACATAGGTCATGACACGATACATACCTCGATACAAAGGCCACGATACAATACAAACCCCGTTACGATACACACCCTGATGCATAGGCCACGATGCAATACATACCTCGATACATAGGCTGCAATACGATACGTACCTCGATACATAGGTCGCGATACAATACATACCTCGATACCTAGGTCACTATATGATACATAGGCCACAATGCGATATATACCTCAATACATAGGCCACGATACGATACATACCTCGATAAGATACATAGACCACAATACGATACACATCTTGATACAGTGAGCTTACGATTCGATACTATTCAATACAATACATTGCAAATCAATTCGATACTGTTCAATAAAAAATAATGGCTAAATCATGGCTGTGATATTAAAAGTCAAAAAATGTCAAATGTGTTGCATAAACGAGTTTCCTTCCTCTGAACAAGCAACAAAACAGTAGCCCTGTAACAAAATAATGTAGTAAAATATAGCAAAAAATACTCTTGGCGATATATAAATACAACAGTCCACCATATCAATACTCTATCATCACATTAAACTATACGATATATCAATAGTCCGATATTTTTGCACACCCCTACTCAACAGCATCTCCAGCTAACACTAATCAGTATCACACAACACCTTCATGCACACAGGCAGGTGAAGAGTCTTGCTCAAGGACACAACCACACAACTGTTACCATAGTACGTACACAAAGCTGGCAGGAATCTGGGAGTGACTAAGTGAAAAACTGTTGGCTAACGGTAACTTGTGACTGTGTTGTTATTTGAGAGGGACTTAAATAAGATTCCACATCATCTGTTGCAGTTCCAATTAGCTCTGTTCTATCTGATGTGTTAAACTAAGCTCACATTAAAGTCTAACTGGCTTAATAGAGCTTCAGACAGAGCTATGCTTTTGGTCAGCACCACCCCACCAGGGAATGTTGATGACATCAGCTACAGCATCGATTGGATTCATTGGGTCAATTTCACAACTAGTAGTAAAAAGTAGTAGTTTTGATGAGTAGTACTACAAGCTGGGTGGTGCTGTACCTCTGGGTGGAAGAAGATCTCAGGCCCCAGGAAGCGCTCGTAGCCCACATCGATGGTAAACTCTTTCTTGCTGATGGCGTTGATGCCGGTGTGCTGTTTGATCCACTTGGAGCCGTCGGTGTCGTACTTGTTGAACTCTTTGACCAGGTCTGGGCACACGTAGCTGAAGCGCTCCTGAACAACAACAACAACAACAACGTCAGTGAGGTAAGGAGAGGAATTAGTGATTTATGACGATGCATAACTCCCTAGCAAATCTAAAAAAATCTAAAATCTAGAATAACACAAGACAAAATTAAAGTAATTAATCCCATGCAACAATTTGTAATCAAGTACTGCTATGGATAAATAAAAATAACATATATTAAGGTTGTCAAAAGTATTGAAAATCTGATCCTAATAGTACTAAACCTAGTATCGAAACTACTCTAGATACTCTTTTAAGTACTACTACTATTTAATGTTGAAAATTTAATTCTATCGTCTAAATACAGTGATTTGAATTATCAGTGCAGTATTGGATTTGGAATCAGTATTAAATATCCAGTCTTTTCCTAAAACAGAAATGTTAGTATCATGACAACACTACAATGCTTTATATTGTCTCTTTTCCAAACGTTTAACTTCACTTTATTCCTCTGAGTGTTGCAGTTGTGTTACCTTGACGGCCTTGGCGGTCTCCAGGCTCTGCTCTGGGGGGATGCCCACCTCCCTCTCACGGAGCAGCTGCTGGATGAAGTAGGTGATGTCCCGGCCGGCGATGGGGATGTGCTTAATACAGCTGCCAATCACGTATCCCTCAGCCTGAAATACAACAGGACCATGGTGAGTTCTGCTCTACCACGCCAAACACTCTCTATGACTTACTCAAGTTTTACAAATACTTTTTTTTAATAACACAGTAATAAAACTAGTTACAACTGAACATTGAGTGATTAGATTATAGTTTCTTGCCCCTAGTAAGTTTCAGTTACTTTTTCAGTGCCAAAAATTGTGCAATCCATATGGTCATAAAACAGGAAAAAAGAGAAACAGGTAGCAGGGATGTCCTCTTCTGGTGTCAGACGCAGATCAGATATGAACCAAAACAATACAAATACTGGTGTATGGAGCAGTGTGCACATCGCCTTTGCTTGATATTAGCCTCTATAACAGAAAGTTTTGGTGTAAAGGAAAGTTAGTTCTGGACAGAGTTTAGAAAGTTAGTTCCTAAAGCTGCAAGTAACTTATCGTAATCAGTAACTAAATTACTTTTGAAACTCACTGTAGTAATTACATTACTTTTAGAATGAGTAATCAGTAATCAGACTGGTGACCATGAGTCAGAACTAGAGGTGTGACCGGCACAAACTCCACATGACCAGATTTTGTCATTATATTTAATAAATAGATTGTGTGGTTTTGTTCACACCTTGAGCCTCAACATTGCTGATATATTTTATCTTATATATTTACTTTCATGGTAGCACTGCTTCTTGGATCTAAGACTTCTCAAGAAATATAACTCACCAACACTTTGACCCCCTTTTGACCCACTTTAAATGTAAACACATGAAAACACATTTTCCTCATGTGTCCATAATCTTGTGTCAGTTTTGTCTAGATCTTAACTCTTTCCTAATAAGAAACATTCAAGCTAAAATATTGATCACACAGATATTCCATGTGGATATAAGCAGGAGGTGTGTTTGTGTGTGTGTGTGTTTGTGTATTCGTACCACAGGGATGACATGAGTGACCCCGTCCCCGCTGTCGATCACTGTCCCGGTCAGGGTCCTCTCTCCCACCTGTCGAGACGTCCACGAGGCGGCCAGAGCCAGCACCGCCTGAAAACAATGATCCAAACAAAACATTAGACGTAAACATACAAAATGCAAACATGTAAAGAACAGGACTATGAGTATATTTATGAAAACAGCACAGTGATGCTAAGGCCACATGTGGCTAACAGGGGAATGGGGGGAAAAAAAACTTCAACTTCATAAACAATTAAAACAGCAAGTGACAATAAGGGGTCTCCTTCACAATTTTTGTTTTTTGTTTCTTATTATAATTTTCCAAGTACATATGAGAGTACCATTTATTGATTCCACTCTGTAGGAATAAAATTTAATTCAATTACTTTTGAGTAGCCCAAATAGTGAGAGAAGCAAGAAACTGCATGAAATTAGAGGAATCATACTACAGATACATTATACTAAAAGCAATACTATTATAAAACCACTACCATTAAGACAGTTTAGAAGCAAAAAAAGCTGATTTATTGTTTAGTTACACTTTAAAGACACGTGAGTCGTACCTGCACAGCGATGTAGAGGCCTGGGACGTTGAAGGACTCGAACATGATCTCAGCCGTGTACTCCCTGTTCTCCGGGGTGTTGAGGGGAGGCTCAGTCTGTTTTCACACAACACAGTCCAATAAGAAAACATGCACAATGTCCGTTTAGTTACATGACCTATCCAGTCAGACTTGATTTGAAATTGGACCGCTGCGTGCCGTCTGCATCCAATTATTAAGCATTTTAACGTCAGAGAATCGGGAAGTGCGCCGCTAGCATGCTAGTTGTTGTTAGCATTGCAGTGATGTTAAAACTCCACTCCAAGTTGTGAAAAGCGCTTATAAACTCTTTACGGGGAATAATTAGGATGCTCTGAATGCATAAGGTAAGTGAGGAATAACTTTGGACCACTGTAAACAGTTTAAAAGATTTTGAAGGCAGTAAAAATCAGGTAGCTTTAACACTTTAAACAGTTTGTATGCCTAGAAGGTTAAGAGAACTGGTGGCAAGAAGAATTTTGCAATGCAGATTTTTGATGTGATATAGTAACCAAGTGTGCTCATGATTAGGTCCATGATTGTTTCCTTCAGTTGAAGAAATTGTATTTAATATCATGAAAATACAGTACAACCAATCCAGAATCAGCAGGCCCGCCTTACCAAGAGGAAGTAGTGGTCTTCAGGTTCTGCCCGCAGATACTTGAAGATGATCTGCTCCATGAAGCGCTCCATCAGGTCCCAGTCCTCCACTATACCGTGACGAATGGGCCACTGCAACAGAGAATGGACCACGATCTTAAACAGGCTCATCTACAGGCTTTTACTGGAAGTTTTAGATTCAGTACAGATGTTTAAACTAAGCTTCAACTAATTTATCAATCTGCACGTGTGTTATGTAGCTGTTATTTATCTCTCAAGTAATTACAGAAGAACTTAGACCCATCACTTCTATTTACTGGTTGTAGTTGGCCAAATGAGTCGATGTGTCGAGCTGTGTCACTGTGTGTATCATTTTAAGAAAAGTCACGTGACCGTTTCATTTACTGTATCATTTGGTGTTGCTCGTGTCAGGAGCGCTGAGGCGGCTTGTGTAGAGCGAGGGGCGTGAGGCTCAAATGTGTTGCAGTGTCTCAGTTCATGACCACAGAACCACAGAGAAACAGAAGACAGACCTGTTCAGTGTGGCTCATTTTAATCAGTCCCAAGTGGAGCTCACTACACATTTACTGAAAGAACTATATTATTTTACTATTATGTTACTTTTACTTTATCATTCATCTTGTCATGTATCACATATATCCTACTTTATTGTACAATAGGCTGTGACGTGTTATAATGACATGAGACTGCATCATCTTCATAGTCAGTTCTTTCACTTGTTGGATATCAGACCACAGTTGTCACAAATGAGTGTTTACATGTCTGAATGAACGAACACTGCGCTGTGTCAATGCTTCTGCATAGGAAGCAGTTCATTTTTAAACCACCAGATGGTGCTATAATACACACCAACAGAATCAGTTCCACAGTGCTGGAAATGGCCACACACCTTGAGGTCTCATATGCCCATCACTAGAATTCAATTGAGAGAAAAGCATAGACACGTTTCTTGTCCACATTTTTCACAAACACAGAAGTTCATTTTGGCATTTTATCTTTGCCTTTTGTAAAAATCACAATGCTGCCCTGTGACTGGACTGAGTCACTGGTCAGATGGATTTTGGGAGTTTAACCTGGTTTATGGTTAATCTCTTTATACATATGAAACAAAACTGGTATCAAATTCAACGTCTTCTCTGTCACCACACAAAATACAAGGTTAAGGTTATTTTTATCTTGTATTACAAAGAGCCGTACCTTGGTGGCATAGGAGGGTTTGTCGATGGCTTCGTCTCCAATGTAGAAGTCCAGATCGTCCACTCCCTTCGCCATCCTCCGCTGAGCCTGGTCCCCCACTTTGGCCGACTCTTTGATTGCAATACCTGTCACATACAGTTAATATCACATCAAATAACTAATAGTCCAATCCTGGGAGGAAGTCTATTTTAAAAACCCCCCCAAAAAAAACAGTACACGACACAGAAAAAGTCTATCCAAAATGCAGAAGCAATTTAGAGTAAGGAACACATTTTTCTGATAGCTTAGGCAGTAATTTAACAAAATACAGGAGTTGTCATTTGTTATTTTGTGGAATGTATGTATGTATGTCACAAAAAATAAGAGAAAAAGAAAAAAACAAGCCAAGATTTTTTTGTATAATCTTCAATAATCTTGTTAATTACTATGTTTTATGTGTTCAGTTACTGCTAAAATGTCAAATGTTTCAGGTTTTTCACAAGAACAGTGGTTGAAATGTATCTGTTGTGCCATCTAATCCATTTTTAGGTTGACTGTCCTAATTCAGATAACTAAATAACTAATAAATATCCAATAAATAATAACATGTTACTCACATGAAGGGATGATGAACTGTGGCTCCGTATTACCAGCATAACCAAGCTTCGTGTACCTGCAAAATGAATGTCAACAAAATCAGATTTCATTTTAACCATAGACTAAATAAGTGTGTGTAAAAATATTGACAAATCGATATATTGTATTGTAATGTGATGACACAGTGTCAATATCGTGGGCTGCTGTATCTATATATATTGCCAAGAGTATTTTATTGTATATTTTACTAAATTATTTTGTTACAGCTACAGTTTTGGTGCTTGTTTCATGGAAGGAAATTTGTTTATGCAAGACATTTAACATTTTCACTGTTTTGAGGATTAAAATATTTGTGTTTCATATGAACTTTGCACAAGAAGTGGTTTAACAAAAACTTTTAGTGTCACAGATATGATTTAACAATTATCTTATTATTGAACCATATCGAATCGATTTGAAACATATCGTATCGAACCGAAAGCTCACTGTATCGAGATATGTCTATGATCTTAACATACAATACAATTTAAAACAGAGGAAAATTGTTAAATGACTCTTTATTCAATCTGCTGTTTTTTTTTTTTACCCATTTTAAACCTAAAAATTTTAACTAAACTAAAAAATGTCTTAATAAAGTACCATTCATACCATACCATTCATTCTTTTGAATTTCAATTAAGAACAAAAAATTATAAAATGGGAAAAGAGTTTGTTATTTCATTTTTCCGTTTTAATGTCAAACCAAAAAAAACAGATTTCAACCTCTATTTCCAGTATTTAATTTAAAGTTTATATCAAATAACACCAATCAAAAAACAGTCATCGTGTCTATTTTAGTTTGGATATTTTATTCTCTCTGGTTTATTTGTCCCGGAAGTTTTGCTGCTAGAAGGACTGACCTGAAAAATTGTTGCATAAATAATTGCGATTTCAATACCGACCAAAATAATTGTGATAATGATTTTTTTCATAGTTGAGCAGCTCTAGTTTACACCATAGAACTAGAATTTGATTTTATTTATTTTTTTATTATAGATCCATGTGTGACACTGCAGCAGAACTTCCGGGACAAATAAACCAGTGAGAATAAAATATCGAAATTAAAATGATTGGAAATAGAGGTCGAAAGCTGTTTTTATATATATACTAAAACAGAATAACAATAATAGACTGTTCTCCCATGTTATTGTTTTTCGTTTTTAACTGAAAAGTAAATGAAAGAAGAAGAAAAATGTCAAAATGCTGCTTTTAGTTTCTTAGTCATGTACTAATCTATGAAATACATGGAAGTAAAGAAACAATCCAGGAAGTAGCATTAGCATTAGCTGGCTGAAATATATACAGTACAGCCCTAGGAAAGCTATTTTATGTGATCCATCGCTTCATTTGTTGTTATTTACTGGAAAAGTCAAAGAATTCAAAGTGGTTAAAGGCAGGGGTCACGCATACGGCCTGGTGTGGGCCGGAGAGCCGCGGTGCTGGGCGTTAGCTGCGCCTGACAGCCGCTGTCTGGGTGTGGACGTGCGGAGCGGATCCGGGCTAATGCTAATGCCAACTAGAAGCTCATTTTTGGTGACTTACCCCGTGCCACAGTCCACTACACAAGCGGGGAGCCGGCCCGCCATGGCTGCTGCGTTTACCTCGAGATGTTAATAACTACTGTAACTGCTGATTGTCTAAATGAGCGCGATAGACATTTATACACAAGCCTGAATGGAGAGCGTCACGGTCTGAGCAGCGCTTCCGCGTACTGCCAGATATGCTCTTCACCGCTTTTCACCCGTGAGTCAGTGGTCACAGCGCCCCCATGTGGACAAGGACTTTAATTACACTAAAAGGAGAGAAAATGGTCATTTTCTATCAAAATATGTTTTTTTTTTTACCAAGTTACAACTTAGTTCCCTCATCAAAAACATGCCTTTCTGCTGTCACCTGGTTGTTGAGTGCAGCGGTCTACCTACAGGTGCCCAGACTCATGCTCCCCCGCCCCCTGAGGGCCTCCCCTATGTCTACCTCCAAGCTCCTTACCTCCCTGATACTTTTAATGCATCACACCCAATTTTTTAAATGCACCACAAGTCAGCCATGGATGAGTGTGTGTTCATGTGTGTGAAGGTGTGCCTGAGGGTGTGTGCAGGCTTGTGTGTATGTGGATGTGCATGTACGTTCCTGTGCAGGCAGGTGTGTGCATGCATGAGTGTGTGTGAATGTATGCACATGTACATATATATCAGGAAGGGGGAGTGTTCAGATCAAGAGGCAGTACGTCCAGGGGCTGACCATCTTGGTTGGCGGGCGGTCGTGTGCGGGGCCCTGGGGGTGGCCCCTGCATTCCACCGTTGAGGACGTAGGCATGGCTGGGCCTGCTCTGTATTTGAGTGGGGATCTGAGGCAAAGCTCCATTAAATACTTAACTTACTTTCAATACCCCCCCACCACAGCTGAACAAATCATATACAGCAACCATTCATTTATTGCAGCTATTTTCATTTTTGCATACATACACATGTACACGTACACGCTTACGTATACACACACACAAATAATGTCCACACCTCACCTTTGACCTTATGATCTTTATGTTTGTCTCGTATCTTGTTTGGTTCCTATATTCTGTAATATATCTACTTTGCAAATAAAATAAATAAATAAATAAATGCCCTGAAGAGGTATGCATGTTTTTCATCTATGCATGTTTCAGTAATTTATTCCAATGAGGTTCATTTGCTCTTCTGATAATTTATGTTATTAGGTTCTTTTTTCAGACCAAGAGTTTGTTTTCAGAGAACAAACATCATCACTGGATTAAAGAGGAAATCGAAATACAGAAACATATCCACGGGACTATAAACCGGAATGAAGGGGCTTTTTTACTCTCACACACCTGGGATACTGTCCTGAGGAAGTCGGACTGCAGATGGCGCTGTCGTCCTGCCTCCACTGATAAGAAGACAGCGCCAAAACCTGTTTAAATCAACTAAGCGTCACAGAAACATCACAGGACTCGGAGGAAGACCGCAGAGAGCAGTCGAAACTGTCAGGTATGAAAACACAACTTTCAGTAATTTAGTTATAATGTAGATGTTATTTGTTGTGTCTGTGCACGTAAATGTTTGTCCTGTCTTGTACTTTAAGTCAAATAAACAACGTGTTTCATTTTCTCTCCAATGACAAACTAATGTGTTTAGAAACAGTACATTTATAGCCCTCACTTATACTACATGTATGTACATCACTACTTTAGTATTCATTTCACAGTTACTCTATTAGTTTGATTGTGTACTTACAAGGCCAAGCTTTTAGTATTGGCACCGCCAACGCATTTGCAGACAGAATTTTTAAATGACTAAAACATATTAGGTCTCTTTTCATAAAAACTCACAGAATATCAAATGTGAGTAGTTCATTCCATTTTAGGTAACACAGAAAAGTACTACAGGACTAAGTAATGAGCAGATTGGTCAAAAATAGGGACACCTGGGACATTTCTTGTATAAAACTGGGACAAATCACTGGTTTTGTATCATTCTAATGGGACAGGGGACAGAGGCTTAAACTGTCTCGGACAATAGGGACATTTGATCACACTCCCCTATGCAAACCATGGACTGTACAATGCCAATATAAAAATTAATGTATGAATGTAACAATAAAGTTTGTTTAAATCTAAGTCTAAGACTGCGTAATTAATTAAGTAATATTGTTCTGCGCTCGGCACGAATGTGAGTCACTATAGTTACATTTTCTTTGTGTTTTGGACATTGTAATGTAGTTTTCTGTATTTTAACTAAATAAATGGCAATTTATGCCTGTCTGTACTGTTTATAAGTGAAATAGGATTCTGAAGAAGAATGAATATGTGACAAAAATCAGGAAGACAATGACTTGTAATGCTGCAAATCAACTTCAAACACAAATGTGCAAAGTAGCAGCCGTCCACAAGAGCTCTAGTCCACACAACAGTCTACAAATCTCTCCACGGAGCATAATAAATACACAAATACACTTTAACATGGCGTCGCAACAGTAAAGTTACCGTTCAAACTTCACAAAGGTTCGTTTCAAACAGCAGGAAATGTGAGAGTTGTCAAAGTGTAAAACACAGGAAACATGCTGAAATAAAAGAGTTGCTGGCGGGAGTTTGCCGCGTTGTGGCTCTGAGATCCAGTATGTCCCCAGGAGCCAAAAGCAGCACAGCAAACTCACCTGAAGCCTGCTACGCCCTGACCCCAAAACACCTGCTTTATAAAATAAAATTTATAAAAGTGAAACCAGCAATGTAATTTTGTTATCGTCAAATATGGTGAATCGCACAGAGCAGTCACTTCTAGAACCTGCTCTTGCTGTCAGCTTTGAATTTCTTTTCACAAACTGCTTTAGGAGTGAGATCAGTAAAAAAATGTATACCAAATTCTCTGCATATTTGATTGTGTTGTACCAATTAAGACATTTGTATTAGTCATGTATTCTACAGTAATGGCTTTTGTCTAATACCTGGAGTGCTATTTCTATAAACAGTTTCAGCTAATTTAAGAATAATTTTGCTTGTCAATGTCCAACAAGAAATACAATCATTTAAGTGGGTTAAAATCACTGAATGTTCTATTTCACTTATATTCACAGTTTGTTTTTTTAGGTTTTTTTTTAAATGCTGTTGACAGCTGTGGGCCCAACAGTATTTATCTCCCGGTATTTCCCAGATACTTCACTTCTTGGACTACTTTCAGTTTGTTCCAAGCACACATACATCTGGGTCTGTGTCCATGCCAGGCTTTTTAGAGAAAAACTTACTGACTTTGAGACATTTGAATGTGGTCAGCTGCTTCCAATGACAGCTACTTTTGTAACTTGCTGGTCTCTGTTCACATTTTGCCCAAGTTGTAAGGTAAAAATCGTATGCAATGTCTAGGCCAATAAACCATCACAGGACTTGTTCCATGATCAAATTGTGTTCACTGAGAAAACTATTAGCAAAACACGCTGCACATTCACATTGTTTATGCCAGGGTTTCTTTTATTTTCCTATTGTTCTTTCCCATTGCTGACAGCAGAGGGAGCTCAAGCACCTGAATACCTCACTGGAAATGGAGGTGTAGTTTATAAAGCACATTTTCAAACTGTCCTGTTGTTTGTTTGGTAGAAAATGTAAAATACAAATCTAAACATTTACAAGTAAGTAAAAGCCACAAGAATACATATTATGTTTCCTTTAAGAACCCCAGTAAGAGAATTGTTATAATGGTGAACTAATGTGGATCCATAAAAAACAAATAAATATATACACAAATGTCTGTGTATAAAACAAGAAATGTAAATGTTGGACAACCATGGCTCCTCAAACTCACATTAGCCAGATTCAACTAATTCAACATGTGTGCAGATGTTGAATATGATAGTTTTAATTTCATGGGGATAAGTTTATGAATAATATGAACCCAAAACAAACTAAACAAAAACAGGTCAAAAGAATATACACTATGAGTCTGGGCAGATGCAGGTGATAAACGTCAGACTCTGCTCCTTTAGACCTGAGTCTCTGTGGACAGACTGGTTTGTCAAAGTCTGATCCCACTGGGAAAATCAGAAGCCACAGGGGAGCACCAGTCACAAAAAATGTAGCTGTGTCCTTAGGCAAGACACTTCACCCACATTGCCAAGTATGAAAGAGGTGTGTGTGTGTGAGTGATGGTGGTGGTGGGAGGGTAGCTGTGGCTCCAGTAGTAGTTTACCACCAAGTATGGAGTGAATGAATGATGATCTGTAAAGCGTCTTTGTGACATATCTATGAAGAGATATAAATAAAAAGTTGCTTACTCTTGGTTTTCCACACATAAAGAATAGTTTATCTACAAAACACTGAGATTCTCCTGCATTTAGGGCAGGAGGAGCCATGGGCCATTCACAGTGAGAATAAACAACAGGTGAAGCGGCTCCAGGTGAGGTACCAGCTCTCTCCCCACTCCCTGTGGCCCGGGTCAGCAGGAATAGAACTGTTACCCCCAGAACTTCCACCATGGACCCATATAACCAAGACTAATCTGAGGAGCTCCACTTGCTTAAACGCACAACACCAGCAGTGCATCCAACACCTCAGGCCCACACCTCTACAACTGTGTTCAGCTTTGACTCTTCACTACACTCTTCTCTGCCTGTGAGGCCCAAGTGCAGCGCTAAACTGGGACAAATGTGTGCTTTTACATACACTTTTCATGTACAGTGGTTATTTTGTATTTTCCATTTATAAAATGATAACAATAATAAAATAACAATAAATAATAATAAAAATAATAATACAATAATAGTTATTTGAGGATAAAATGATACAGTAATATAATAATAATAATTAAAAGAAAACAGAATTAGCCTCAGCAGCGGGAATGTTGTCGTGACCAAAGTGTGTAGCGCAGAGATGACCTTGGTGTGTGAAAGAGTGCGTCTAACTAAGTTCACTTGAGGCGTTGTATAAGTACACGTCTTGAGGTTTGTCTCCTGTGTGTGTTGACATGTGTTTTATAAAGTTTCCCTTGAGGCTAAACTCTTTCTTACAGATAGAACAGCTGTAAGGTTTCTCTTCTGTGTGTGTTTTTATGTGTATGGAAAGGTAACACTGTTTGGGAAATGTTTTCTCACAGATTGGACAGTTGAATTGTTTTTGACTGGTGTGTGTTCTCATGTGTACTGCAAGATTCCCCTTCACATTAAAAGCTTTGTCACAGACTGAACAGCTGTACGGTTTGTCCCCCGTGTGTATTCTCATGTGGACTATAAGATTAGATTTAGCAGGAAATGATTTGTTACAGATCGAGCAGCTGCAGTGCGTCTCTCCCGTGTGTGTCGTCATGTGTGCTGCCAGATAAGTCTTTCGGGAAAATGTTTTCTCACAGATAGAACAGCTGTAAGGTTTTTCCCCCGTGTGTGTTCTCATGTGTACTGTCAGATGACCCGTTAGGGCAAAGGCTTTGTTACACACTGAACAGCTGAATGGTTTCTCTCCTGTGTGAACTCGAATGTGTCTTTGTAAGTTCTGTTTAGATCCACATAGCTTTAGACAAAAAGAGCACTGGTGTTTCTTCCCCTCAGTTCCTTCAGCTGTTCCATTGTCCACAGTGGTGTTGGTCTCTGGTGCAGACGTGTGTTTGGGGGATGGACCTGAGTTTTGTGCAGTGCTGCTTCTGGCTCTGATCTTGACCTGGTTGTCTCCACCAGCCTCTGTCTCCATCTGTGCAGCTGAAGAGCTGCATGGAGCTCTCCAGTCTTCATCATTGTCAGAAGAGTGTTCCGTGTCTCCCTCAGTGTCTGAGTGGACATGTGTCTCTGAGCTCTTGTCCTCTCCCTTTGCGTCTTCTCTTTGTTGAGGCAGTGTGGACTCTTCAGTCTTCACACACACAGTACTGGACTCAGGGACACACCTGAAAAGAAGTTCAAATAAAGTTAAAATGAATCAAGAAAAGAATGTTTGGAATCGTATTGTCTTGTATAACACCTGCTGTCTCCTGTACATAGTAAACATTTCACACTGTTCTCAAAAGCTCATCAGGAATTCTGATTTTTATACAGATTTCTAATCTGATCAGATGTATTATCCTCACACTTGCAGCTCCTCCTCCTCCTGTTTAACGCTCTCTTCCTCCTGTTTTATGCTCTGTTCTTCTGGTTCCTCTTTAATCTGTGGAGTCTCTGAGATTTCCTGCTTCAGACCAGGATCAGGACTCAGAAAAGGCATCTGGACACCTGCAGAAGACAGTGGACAAGGAAACACACACATATATGTGACATTTTTCCTGTGAAATTAAATGTGTCTACACTGGGGGATTAGATGTTTTTTCTTTGTCCGTGAGGTCATATGTATTGATCCGTATCAAAACTTGTTCTGACAAATTACATTATGATTTATACAACAGTGTAATCAAGATTCTTAACATAAGACTGCATTCAGTGCACACAGACACACGGACACACAGACACACACACACACACACACACACACACACACACACAGACACACACACACACACACACACACACACACACACACAGGCAGGTTATTAAAACAAATGGCCAACACAATGTCTTTGAACTCTGTGAACAAATACTTGTTTCTAAGCCTCTTTGTCATGTGTCAGTGAGTAATAACACAGAGTCTCTTATAGACAGTGAAGGCATCTTCACTAATGTCTGCAGATCTGTGGGGTTTGATGGAAGAAAAGAAATGTTACATGTTCTGCCTTCATAACATGTTATACACGGATACATGTTATTGGTGGTTTTCAGATTCTAGAATGTGATGATGTTCTTCTCTCAGATGCGGGCAAAGGTTCAAATCTCCAAAAGGTAAATTCACAAATGTTGAACCTGGTATTTTCTATTATTGTCATGACAACATAATTTAACATTATAACAACATTAATTCTGCCCTTCATCTGTATTAAATAATACAGAGTGAATGAATAGAATACAGTGATGTCATGTGAAATCCTGCAATAACTCCATGTTCTGAGTCCATGTTCTGAGTCCATGTTCTGAGTCCATGTTCTGAGTCCATGTTCTGAGTCCATGTTCTGAGTCCATGTTCTGAGTCCATGTTCTGAGTCCATGTTCTAACTCCATGTTCTAACTCCATGTTCTGAGTCCATGTTCTGAGTCCATGTTCTGAGTCCATGTTCTAAGTCCATGTTCTAACTCCATGTTCTAACTCCATGTTCTGAGTCCATGTTCTAACTCCATGTTCTGAGTCCATGTTCTAACTCCATGTTCTGAGTCCATGTTCTAACTCCATGTTCTGAGTCCATGTTCTGAGTCCATGTTCTAACTCCATGTTCTGAGTCCATGTTCTAACTCCATGTTCTAACTCCATGTTCTGAGTCCATGTTCTGAGTCCATGTTCTGAGTCCATGTTCTAACTCCATGTTCACTCCATGTTCAGTCCATGTTCTGAGTCCATGTTCTAACTCCATGTTCTGAGTCCATGTTCTAACTCCATGTTCTAACTCCATGTTCTGAGTCCATGTTCTGAGTCCACATTAGCGCGATGCTATCCGCCCGCTGGATATGAGCATCAATAGAATGAGGCACGTACCTTTCTGGGACAGCGCCATGTCAGCCACACCCGTAAAGACTCTACTGTGACTCGACTTGAAACAGATGTGCTTTAAATACTCAAACTCTGTCAGATAATGTACTAAAAGAGTAAAAAAGGATTCCAAAATTTGACTGGGAACCGATTTGGCATCACAGTTTCATCTGCGCATGCGTCAACATGGTTCTTCTTTGGGGTTCAGCCTTTTTTGTGTCTTTACTGCCCCCCTCTGGTCTCCTATGAAACTGAAGAAAAATGTGAGTTTGTTTGAGATGAACTTAGGGGGATCAGACGTCCCTGTTTACCCGGGACAGTCCCAGTTTTGAGCTCTGTGTCCCTTGTCCCAGCAGATTTATTTAAAACAAACAAACAAACAAACAAACTGTGGTTTTGTCCCAGTTTTATACCAGGTGTCCCTATTTTGGACTAACAGTAAAGAGGGGCAAAACTCGACATTTGTTAAGGTAAAATTCTGAAAAGCTGCTTAAAAATGACCAAAACACAAAGAAAATGTGACTATAGTGTTATGTGTTAATATAAGTGCATAACAATTTTCCTTAATTACACACTCATTTTAAAATTGTATTATTAGCAACCACAACAAATCAGGGATGTCCCAGTTTGTTTGTTTTTTTGGTTGTTGTTTTTTTGAAAATATGGTCACCCTATTTGACTGGAAAGAGTTAAAGCTTTAAAAATGTAAAATTTGCAGAAAACATGTTTAAAAAAAGTTGAGAGTTGAGAGTATCAGAACGCTTTAAACATTTAAATACATCTAATTAAATAAATCTGTATCTTTCATGTGTATCTGTATGTTTTGAGTATGTTGTGTGTGAAGTATTTCCCATTATTTCCCAAGTATTTCTCTCATTTATTCCCACTTTGTTTTGAATGTTATATAGCCTAGATGTCTGCCTGTGTCACTTGTATCCCAACATTCTTGCCAGACATTTGACATTTAACGTTGCCTACAGTGATTTTCAAAATAAAAAAATGGGACACGAGAACTTCCGGAGCCACGTGACCAAGATGGCAGCTTAGCATCGAGGCTCCGACACCATGCCTTTACTTTTATGATCAAAACCCTCATTAATTGCCAGCTTTTGTCAGACAAACAAGGTTGAGGACATGTCAAAAACACAAGCCACGAAGCAGTGTGAACTTTTCACTCGCGGACGCAAAGCAACCCCCAGAACGACCACAGCAAGCCTCCAGGATAGCACAGAAGCTAGCACTAGTGCTAACACGGATGAAGCTAACATGGCTGGAGTTGTAGAAGTGCTATCTGAGATAAAATCACTGCGCTACGACTTCGGAGGAAGGCTTGATGGCATTGACCAGGGTTTGACCAACATATCAGCCACTCTGACAACGTTAGAGAGTGCACTGACGCAGACAAAACAAGATGTCTCGGCCAACACCGCTCGCATTGAAGAGGCTGAAGCCCGCATAGTCGCATCCGAGATGAAACAGGATGAAGCCGACGCAAATTTACAGTCAGCCTGCAAACGCATCGCTCTCCTGGAGGCAAAAATAGAAGACCTGGAAAATCGGGGGAGACGTAAAAATCTCCGAGTGTTTGGAATCCGTGAAGGAGAGGAGGGGAAAAGACCGCTAATTGACTATGTTACCGAGATGCTTCCAAAGTGGCTGGGACAGACACACAAATCATTCACACTGGAGCGAGTCCACCGCACACTAGCAGCAGCAAGACCGGGCCAAAATAGAGCTGTTCTTGTCCGGTTTTTAAACTTCCAGGAGAAAGAGTTCGTGTACCGTGAAGCGAGAAAACAGCAAATCATTCACGACGGGCAGAGAATCACGTTTGCACAGGACTTCTCTGCCGAAACAGCCCGGATCAGGAAAAGCTTTCACCCCGTGATTAAGAACTTCATTGACATTAATGCATTCCGGGGGTTTCAGTACAACCCATGCAAGCTCAGAATCCTCCACAACGGCAAGATTCATCTTTTCTCCACACCTAAAGAAGCGGAGGAGTTCTACAGGCGACTGCACGCGGCGGGGGACACCGGTGACGAGTGAACTGACGTGGATGGCTGCATCTGGTATAAAGACTTTTTGAAAGGACTCAAAACAAAAACAGGTGATGTCTGAAATGTTTAAAAGGCAAGTTTTTCTTTTTGTTTACTACCTCTTTTGCAATTGGAATTATTTTGTTTAATTCTCAATGTTGAAATTGGCAGTTATGTTTATAAAAGTACAAATACTACGAATCCAAAAGGGTTAGATTGATACATTGATACAGGAATCTACATGGTGTTGGGGTGCTGGTGTTAGCACAGGGTGAGTAGGTTCATGTGGACTAGCTGCTCCTCATTATTGTGGATCAGCATCCAGGAAATCCACAGTGTTCAGTGGGGGGGGGGACTATACATTCTAATTAACGGAATGTCTGGGGGGGTAAAGGGGAAGTTCAAAAGTAGTTCTTTGTTTGATGTGAATGTGTGCGTGAATGTGTATGAATGTGTTAATTTGCACTTTATCAAGGAAAAAGGTGTGTCAATCTTCAGTCCTAATCCCAGTTAAACATCACAATAAAATGGATGGAAAGTACACAACAAAATTATAAGGTTATTATCACAAGCTGGAATGTCAGGGGAATGATAAAGTTAGTTAAAGCAAAAAAAATATTAGATAGAATCAAGCTTCTAAAATCTAAAATAGTTTTTATTCAAGAATCCCACCTGACTACATCAGACATCCAAATAATAACTAAGAGATGGCCCGGCCAAGTGTTCCACGCCTGCTTTACTAGTCATGCCAGAGGGGTTTTGATTTTGATACACAAATCAATACCGTTCCAAAAATCCAAGGTTATTACCGATCCGGGAGGGAGATATATTATACTACAGGGTACTGTTCTCTCACAAAAAATAAACCTTATAACTGTGTATGGCCCTAATGATGACTCGCCATCCTTTTTTGAGAATCTGTTTTTGACTTTATCTGTTTTGGACGGTACGTATATAATCGGAGGGGACTTTAATTGCACCCTTGACCCAGTCCTGGACCGATCGTCCCAAAACGATAGTACGCATACTAAAACTAGGAAGATACTTCATAATTATATGCAAGATCTAAAATTGCATGATGTATGGAGAACCAAAAATCCAACTAATATACAGTATTCATGTTTCTCTGGCAGTTGCAAGAGTCACTCGCGAATTGACTATTTTTTAACATCTATAGACTTGGAGCCTCATGTGAAAGACTGTTGGTATAACAGTATTGTATTGAGTGACCACGCACCTGTATCGGTTGAAGTACAATTGGGTAGATTTAAACACAGTCCAAAAAGATGGAGGTTACAGACCTTTTTACTACGAGATGAAGTATTCACAAAATTTGTAGGAAAATGCATTGATAATTATTTTGACCTTAATAAAGATGAAACCTCTGCTAGTATTAGATGGGAAGCTTTTAAAGCTTATATTAGAGGTGAAATTATAAGTTTCACAGGTACTCTCAATAGAAAGCAAAAGGCAGAGACTTTATCAATGGAGGAACAAATTAAAACCTTAGAAAATGAATTTTATAGTACTAAGGACCCCCAAAAACTGCAAAATTTGAGAATTATGAGAGCTAAATATGATAAACTAACAACTGACAAAGTGGCAAAAAGTTTAATGTGGACAAAACAAGCTTATTATGACCAGGGAGAAAAAGCAAGTAAATTGTTGGCTTGGAGGATTAAAAAAATGCAATCTGATAGAGCAATTCTCAATATAGAATTAAACTCTGGTGTCCTGACTACCGACCCCTCAGAAATAAATGAAAGATTTAGGGAATTTTATGAGCAGCTATATAAATCTGAATGTAACGTGAATGAAGCAGTCCAAAACAACTTCCTCGATAAACTACAGTTTCAAAAATTAACTGAGGAGGACAAAGAGATGATTGATAGGCCATTGACAGTAACCGATATAATAGAAGCAATAGGGAATCTCAACAGCGGGAAAGCACCGGGGCAGGATGGGCTGCCCGTAGAATTTTATAAAGTATTCAAAAATAAACTAGCCCAACCACTTCTAGACATGTTCAAAGAATCATATGGAATTGGGAACCTCCCAGACTCATTGAGACTTGCAACTATCACCCTGATCTTAAAACATGATAAACCACAAACAGACTGTGCATCATATCGAGGAATAAGTCTCATGGGGTGTGATATGAAAATACTGTGCAAGATACTTTCCAAGAGGATAGAAAATCATGTACCAAAATTAATATTAAATGACCAACAGGGTTTTGTTCAGCAGAGGCAAGGCTATCACAACATTAGGCGCGTTTTAAATATACTGCATGAGAAACATAATACTCGAGACACAGCTATGCTGGCAGTAGATGCTTGTCAAGCATTTGATAGAATTGAATGGAACTATCTTCTAAAGCTACTTCCAAGATATGGGCTGGGAGAGAAATTCATTAAATGGGTTCAATTGCTATACACAAATCCCACTGCCCAAGTTCTAACCAACAACAACATCTCCAGACCATTCAATTTACAGCGGTCGACAAGACAAGGATGCCCGTTATCGCCAATCTTATTCACATTAGCAATGGAACCCCTGGCCATAGCAGTCAGGACGCAGACAGGACTCTCAGGGGTCGAGATTGGTGGCAGAAAACATGTGATATCTTTATTTGCAGATGACATTATATTTTTTTTGACAGATTTAAAAAACACCATTCCCAATCTGTTGAACGTACTTGAGAAATTCGGTGAGTTTTCTGGATACAAAATCAACAATAATAAATCAGTACTTATGTTTCTTAATGATGAAGACAGGAAATCCCCTCCAATAAAAACTAAATTTGCTATTGCTACTGATGGGCTCAAATACTTGGGTGTCAAAATTACCCCAGATCTAGACAAAATAACTGCTGCTAACTACGACCCCCTGGTGGATGAGATCACGGAAACACTTGGTCGATGGTCAAACTTACCTATATCCATGATAGGACGTATAAATATAATTAAGATGTCAATTCTGCCCAAATTTTTATATTATTTCCAAACACTTCCTTTTCCACTACCTCAATCGTTTTTTGATAGTTTGAATAAAATATTCAGTGACTTCATATGGAACAACAGGAAAGCAAGGCTTCGTTTTAAGTTACTATATCTGCCCTATGAAAGAGGGGGACTTCAATTTCCTAACCTTAAATGGTACCATATGGCTGCGCAATTGACAGCAGCATCACATTATTTTGATGCGGACACTCCTCCAGGCTGGGTATCCATCGAGCAACAATCATGTCTAAATTTACCTATAAATAGCTATCTATATTCAGCCGATTTAAAAACTTTAAAAAGAGAGACAAAAAATCCATTTCTAAAACATACAATAGTTATGTGGCATAATGCTCATAAAATTGTCAGTAATCCTGTAAAAGTATCTCGCTTTACA